CTATCAAACAATACGATGACTCAACAGCTCCTATTGATTATCAGATTGACATCTACGGAGTGACAAAGGATATCATGGTCTCAAGGAAAAGGAGAAAGATCTAATCCRTAAGGGTTACCTTAAGAAATGTGTTGAAACCTCCAAGGTAACTCCCAACAACAACCACAAAGATAAAGTCTCCCACTAGGGAGATAAGGATAATATTTAGAGGACCTGCAAGATGGGAATCTAATAAAAAACGGCGAGTATCACGAGAATGCTACTACACTACCTTGAAAATCAACTTATTAACATATGGAGTTTCTACTTCAGACAATGGTAAGTTTGTTGTGTAATTCTGSTTGTTTATAATTAAGAGAGTTTAGGTTTAATTTTCTGGTAGCTGCATATTTGGTAGATCGCATAATTTAGCACTGATTTTTTGGTAACTGCATGTTGATATTATGTTTCCAAAGATACTTACTCTTTCGTGATTTAAAAAAAAAAGCTCCTAGCATCTGAAATCTAATTAATTCTTTATTACTTGATCAATTATCTTTTCATATATTTTGAATAAGACTTTTGACATTTGAAATATAATTAAATCTTTACTACCTGAGTGTTTATWTTTTATTCTAAATGAAAATCCCTCAAGTGGGGGCATGGGTAAGTAAATCAACAGCTGGTCAAGGAACTCCAATAGGGATAGACCTAGAAGCATGTTGATAAGCTAGAAGCCAATCAGTGAAATCAGGAAAAGAGAATCTCAAGGTGGTGAAAAAGTCATGCGTACAGCCCAGCAAGGTTAAAACAAAAAGCAGACAAGCCTAACCAATCAATGAATCCCAGTGGTAGAAAACCATTTGGTAAAAACCAAAATAGGTTAAAAACGTAGGGGTGTTGATTAACTTAGGGTAAAAAACCGGCAAAAGCAAAAAGGTTAGAAACCTAAGACCGACTAGACTCAGGGTATAAAACTATTGGCGAAAGCCAAATAGGTTAGAAACCCAATAGTGAATCATGAGGTACAGAACGATGAATAATATATATATATATATATATATATATATATATATATATATTATTCAATTATGAAAATGAATATTATATTATAAAATATACCAAATAACCAATCTTTATAAAAATTTCTTTGCTTTCAAAAAAATAAATAAATAAAAATTTCTTTATATAAATATGTCAAATTTTTTACATATTTTAATTGTTGCGGCTTATTTTATCAAATTTTCGAGTTTTTTTATTTTTATTTTGTAGAGTCCAAATAAGTCGACAATTTTGAGATTAATTGTTTAAGCTAGCTACATTTTTTTTTAATTTTAGGTACTATGAATTTGAGGTTATTTTTAATATAATARTTAGTAAAAAAAAAAATAATCGAACTAAAATTTTTTATCCGCAGCTGTTGATTACAATTGTAATATTTGAGACCAAGTTTTATAGTGTCATATGAAAATAGAATGATTATTAATCTTTTGTTTTGAACAATATGAAAATACAWTTCGATGAATATAGCATGTAAAACTTCTCTCTTCGCATGAAAATTAATAGAAGCATGGTGAGGTGGTCCAAATATTTGTTGAGTCTTTCATAATATATTTGCCATCAAATTAAGTCTACACCGCAAATTTTGATTTTTTTGCAATAATTGTACTATGTTTTTGTCTTTTTACTTTATTATTGAACTTGGAATTAATTTTAATTTCTAACTCTTACGACAACCTCCATATATTTTACAATGGTATGATTGTTCATCATGACCATAAGACCATGTAATTTTAATTTTTGTTTTATTTAAAAAGGTAATCAAATTTCCATGAAAATAATCATGTCCTTGCTTATATATTGGTTAATTCCTCTTGTTTAACCAATATGGAACTTGAGCAATGTAATATCCAAATTTAAGCATCCATTTGGTAACGATTTTTTCTTTTTTATTTTTATGTTTTCTATTTTTAGTTTTGTGTTTTTAAAACATAAAAGCTATATATGTTTCATAACTGTTTTTTGTTCTTTGTTTAAAAAAAAAACAAAAAACCAAATCTGTTTGGTAACAATTTTTAGTTTTCAGTTTTTAAAAAGTTAGAAATTTGGAAATATATATTAGAGAGAAAATTYTATGTAAAGTAGAAATGACAATGATATGGGACGGGAGTGAATATGCACTCTACCATCCTCGAACTTGTGAAAATTTTTAGTCCACTATCTCCACCTGKTTCTTCAGTTCGAGAATCAATAACAAGGTTAAATAATTCTTATTTGGCGACAGAGATATTCGTGGAAAAAATTACCATTTTGTAATTAATTTGAATTATTTTTAGAATTTAAAAATAAAAAAGTGTAATAAATATACATTAATTATCATTAGAATTTATTGTTTACTATTATAAATAATTAGTTTTAAAAAATATTTAATGTTTTAATCACAATTGAGTAAATATGTAAATAAAATATATTAATTATTTAAAAAATGGAATTGGGGACGAGGTTGGGACATCAATTTCCTATTTTTGGAGCGGTAACCCAACCCTATGAAAATTTTTGTCATCCCTAATGTAGAGACACAAAAATACAAGTTTAGAGATATGATGACAAACTTTTTAAAGATAAATGTTAGAAAGATAAAGAAACACATTTAAAAAAAGAAAATTGAAAGACAAAAAGAGACAATTTTTAGAGAAGAAAAAAGTAAAGTCAATAGGAAAAAATACGTTAAAGAAAGAAAATATTGAATGAAAAAGAAAAATTATAGTGAGAAAAAATTAAAGATAAAAAAAAGATTTGAAATATACCTTTTAGAGAATATAAAAGATAAATAAAAGTTATAGTGAAAGAAATTTAACGAGAAAATAAGATATAATTTTTAAAGAAAAAATATATTAGAAACCGAAAGAAAAGTTTCAAAAAAAGGGAATTGTTGAGAGAGAAATGTTCGAGAAAATATTAAATTAGGTTTGTGGCTCTTTTGGCTCATCAATTTTGGTCGAATCTCATTTAAACGTATTGGGTTCTGCTACCATATTAATATTCATGAGTTTCYATCTCGAAACAAATTGTCAATGAAAGGAGTAGCCCATATTTATTTATAAAACYTGGTTAAGTTCCTTATCCTTTCAATATAGGATCCTTAACAGGTAATTGTTCCAACAAGTACAAGTACTATTTTTGCTCATTAGTTTAATTGGTAGAAACTATATATATATGGAAAATTATAATTCTTTCACAGATCAATGATAATTATTAGGGGTGCAAGTGACCGACCGGACCGATGAACTGAACCGATTTAATTCAGGTCGGTTTGGTTCGGTTATATTTGAAGTCGGTTCAATCATATAAACCGAATAAAAAGTTGTCCTAATCTTATATAATGTTGCGSGGCCCCCAATCTCTACCATTTTCCCCTCTCTCTCAACAACCCACAATTTTCCTCTCTCTCCATCTCTCTCAACAAACTCATTATTTCTCACCATTTCCTCCCTCTACAAACCCATGATTTCTCACTATTTTCTGCCTCTCTACAAACCCATCCCTCAATAAACCTTCCAATTCTTTCTCAACAAACCCACGCCCGCCAACTTTCTAGCGAAATCCAAACAAACCCACACCGCCCAACATTTCGACGAAATCTAAACAAACCTACTGGCCCTCYCTCGACAAACCCACTCTCTCAAGAAACCCACAACGGCTATTCCAACTTTGAACAACCACTCAACCTTTCGATCGAAGGATTTTTTTTTTTTTACATTCGGTCGAAGGATTTGGATCTAGAAAATGTGCATAATAAGGTGTGCTTGTTATATCTTCTATTTGTTGAAAAAAAAAATTATGCTACTAGACGCCTTTTGATGTCATGAAGGATTTGGATCTAGGTGTTCTAGGGTTCAAGAAGAAAGAGAGAGAGAGAGAAAAATCTCGAAACCGACCCGACCCGAACTTTTACCGACAACCTTCAGGTCGATTCAATTTCATCTAGAAACCGGCTATTTACACCCCTAATGATTATGGACCAAAAGTGAGCATAGCTCATCGGTAATTGTAATATATCTCCAACGAAGAGGTTGTGAGTTCGATCCCACACCCCCACATGTTGTACTAAAAAAAATTATAATAAAAAATAATGATTATGAGGTCGTAATTTGCTTAATAACTAGAGTTGATAATTTCCCGTGAGACGGCGTTTGTTTTGTAGTAATGTAAGATACCCGGGTATCTCGAGATAACATATAAAAAATAAAAATATTAAATTAATGCAAATCAATCTATTATATTAGATGAATTTATAAATTATATAAAGATTTGTGAAGGCATTTTTGGAACATTGTATAAATTTAACACATTCATAAGAAAAAATCCTGCAAAACAAACGTGGTTCTCCAAATATTTCCGGATATTGGGAAATTGGGACGACCCCTCCAATAATTGATTTTGGAATTATGACCCTTTTTTAAAAAACCTAGTTTGTGACCCAACTTTCCTTATTTTTTTGACCCATTTCATTATTTTTAAATGTGAAATTATTGTAGTACCTTCATRTTTCAAAAATTCCGAACATCTCTAGATGCTGGTCATCTAAATAAACCCAATTGAAACTCTAACAAAATTAATCATTAATCTTAGAAAAACAGTATTAAGAATCGTGAGACTTAACAATGGTTTATAATAGACATAGGCTAATTCCCTCGTTGCTAATTAGTTTTGAGATGGAAGCCTATGTATATTAATATGGTATCAGAGTCCAAAACGCTCAAACGAGCGCCCGGTAAAAAAAGATAAATATTAATGAATAGAGACTTGACCAATTGAGGGTGTTAATTATGACACTTTCCAATTTGGGATTTAAATTCATGAAAGTGAAGTTTAAGGTGAAAATTGAGGCACTCACCAAAGTTTAATTTATTATGGTAGACATGGACCACATTACAGTGTGGTTTCGAAAATGGTGGGTATAAAAAGCATAGCCTTGAGACGTTGGGGTGGCATATTATCCAATCCAAAGTTTTGAAAAGATGAGGAAATTGTAGTGTTGTGTTTGCTAATTCTGGCCGTCTTCCTTGCAGCTCCTAATTATAATGTGGAGGGCCAGCCTGCAAGTATCAGCTTCGAAACTGATATAAATACCACAATGTTGCAGATAAAAATCGGTTCATGGAAATCAGTCTTACAAATTCCAACGGTGTTACCGTCAGGCTTGCCATAGATGTAATGAACGTCTACGTTCTGGGGTATTACACCCCACACCCAAATTGTTCTGGATCCTACTTTTTTAAGGATCCTGTTGCGGAGCGAGCTAAGAAATATGTATTCAACAGTTCTCACCCAAAAACAACACTTCAATTTGATGGCAGTTACAGAGGTCTTGAAAACAATGGAGCCAGCCGAAAATCGCAGATACTTGGACTCCCAGCCCTGAGCAAGCTGGTTCAAGCGTTGTACGAGTACAAATGCCCCAACTCCAACTACAATAACACCCATGTTGCACGGGCATTTATGGTAGCAATTCAGGCTATTTCTGAGGCTGCAAGGTTTCAAAAGATTGCTGATGCAGTTCCGAATGACAGGAAACCAACTAGAGAAGCTTTAAAATTAGAAAATAATTGGAGTAAACTCTCCAAAGCAGTTCTGAACGCAGACCCTACAACTAAAGAATTTAAAAGTAACCTTACGCTTGTAGACGCGAACGATAAAGATGTTAACGTATCGAACGCTAATTCACCATATGTAAAAGGTAACCTCCACTTGCTGCTGAAACCAAAGGATCGTCAAGCTCCGTCTCAACTACTGCATTCTCGACATGATCAAAATTATGCTACAATCTAATCTATCTTTCATGAACTCCAACTCCACGTCAAGAATATTATGTTGTGTCGTGTGTTTAGAGTATAATCCTTAATGTGTTCGTCGTTGGTGTGGAAATAAGGCATGTGAATGTCAATGCATTCCTCTGTATGTGTATGTGTGTGCTTTCTTCCAATTTCTGTCCAGTAAGTCTTTTAATGTTTACTGCTTATTCGTCAGCTATAGAATTATATTGGAATTATTTGGTGCACATAAGATATATTTTGCAGGAATGAACAATGAAGAGGAAATGGAGACATAAATGGATCAAATTGAGATAGAAATGATAGCCTGAGTGAGTAAGGAAGACGTTGCAACAGTTATTAACGCCTGGGCCCAAATACCCGAGAGAACCCGTACTAATTTTTATCCTGAGAGGCTAGCACAGCGYAGAGGATGAGAGACTATCGGGGTTGAAAACTCACGACTATCATGTTTTGCTACAACGACTTTTACCGATTCCCATTCGAGCATACGTACCAAAGTTTGTGGGTACAACTATCGTTGAGCTATGTAACTTCTTTCGTGATATATGTGCAAAAACAGTACGCATCAGTGATTTGGATCGATTGCAATCTGACATTATAATCATACTATGTAAGTTGGAGAGAATATTCCCACCAGCTTTTTTCAGTTCACTTACCATAYGAAGCAAAAATTGTGGGGCCAGTTAGTTACAGTTGGATGTACCMTATCGAGCGAAGTCTCCGAACCTTAAAACAATATGTACAAAAAAAGAATAGAGCTCTTCCTGAGGGTTCGATAGCCTAATCATTCGTCATGAATGAATCGTTGACTTTTTGCTCATTGTATATGAGTGGAATCGAAACGAGATTCAATAGAGATGAACGCAACGATGATACTTTTGTCGGTTATAAAAATTGTGGACATTTGACGTGTTCAGGCTAACTGCACGTCCTCTACGGGCATCAATTTCGAAAATATTATCTGTCATTGAAAGAAAAGTTGCATACTRGTATGTACTGAACAACTGTGCAGAGATAGAGTCGTATCGCTAGTAAGTTCGACTTATGCTACGTTCACTTTATTTTCATACTTAGTACATATTACACTAATGTTGGTTCTCCTTTTTYGGAATTGTAGTTAACATTTGAGCTCAATTCGAATTCCTGGAGACAATGTTTCTGCTCTATATGAACGACACATTACATAATTTCCTGATTGGTTAAAAAAAAAAGGTAATCTTGATTTTTAGGGTTTGAATGTAAATGAACGCAAAACGAAATTGTAAGTATTTTGTTCTGATCTATTACAGGTTTTGACATTATGGGAACAAGGCGAATTAGGTGATGATCTTTATTCACTTACGTTATGATCCTCACCAACTGCACGTTCATATAGTGGTTGTATTGTAAACAKACTACACTTTCATAATATAGAACGCGATAGTCGTTGAACGACACAAAATAGTGGGGTCATGGTGTGTGGAGGAGAAGGGGATGACATGAATTTTTATGGTGTCTTGAGTGATGTTTGGGAGTTAGATTATGCTAARGGGAGATGTGTCGTACTTTTTAAGTACAAATRGTTTGACACAGACTCTAAGAAGAATATAATTCGAGTTGACTTAGGTTTTAAGTCGATTAATACGTCTAAGTATTGGTATGCCGACGACCCGTTAATTCTCGCCGGACAAGCTCAACAAGTATTTTATTTGGATGACCCTAAACTTGGTAACAATTGGAAAGTTGTGCAACATATTCTAAATAAACGTGTATGGGATATTCCAGAACAAGAAGACGTTGAAAATGATCAAATTTCATTGTTAGAAGCAGGAGCGAGGATCAAAATAGATGAATCCACTCAAGATAGTTCGTTGCGTCGAGATGATGTTGATCCTATTGTCGTTGAGGGTCGAGAACAGTCCAATAGAAGCATAGATGCGAGCAATGTGGATGATTTTATAAATGACGAATCAGACRATGGGGACGCGTCAACTGATAATAGTATAGATTATGTTGATGATGAGTACTATAGCGAATAAGTAKTMCTCCAAGTATGTTGATTTAAATATATGTTGGATAAATTATGCATCAAATTGATTTATGTTGAGTATTTGTTTTGTCAATGTATAATATTTTATGTTGGTTGCTTAAGTTCGCAGAAAAATGAGACCAGACCAAGCTGGTCAGTTACAGGCTCATGTACAGGGTCGTGTGCATCCACCAGCAGACCCACCTGTTCTGGCTTTTCCTCCAGGTACGTCAATTTAAATATATGTAAAATAAATAAGTATGATTTAACTAATTGGTTTACTGTTTGGCAACATACAGATAGATTAGGTGTGCAAGAATATACCAGATTGATAGAGAAAATCAAGTTCGTGCAACGAACGCAAAGGTACATATCGATTGTGACCACACAGTTAATAAACCTATATGTCCCATGGCCACGATTGGGGTACATACATGCGAACAAGTGGACCTAAAGGTTAACAAGTGGAGAGAGGTCGAAGAAATTTAGAATAGGGCAATTATAACTCAGCTCAAGATTTGAGATTAATTACTTAATATGTTTTATCATTTTTTATGATGCAAAATAACACTTAAATATATGTTCTATGTTTTTTTTGTTATATGGTCATTTCGATTTCAACGAATCAGATCGAGTTATGATGAAATTCATCGAGCATAAGATGAGATCGACACATAAGGTGTATAGGGCAAAATTGCACCAACACTACCTGAGTTATCCCACACTTGAGATTGCGCGCAACAATCCTCCGGAGCGGTTGTTGGCAAAACCAGACGATTGGAACATACTATGCGATAGATGGCAGACAGATGAGTGGAAGGTAATTTACGAATATAACTTATACTTTTTTTTTTTGAGAATTTATATTCGATATATATTCTCATTTAAGTTTTCTTTTGTTAACAAAAATCCAAGACCAACAAACGCAACAAGGCAAAGATGTCATTCAACCATCGTGCGGGGCTGAAGTCGTTTGCTATTATTGCAAAGGAGAAGGTACAATGCAATAATTTTTTCTAGTGACATACTTATATTACTTAAGATCGATTATCAACAATTATGTGTTATCAATTGCAGAAAGAAGAAGAGGGAGGTGACAACTTTTCTGAAATTGATTTGTTAAGGGAAACAAGATACTCAGACACTAAAGGTTGGGTCGAAGGACCGGAGACAACTTACTTAAGTTTACAAATCTTATAACAATTAACTTCAAATTACACATTGAATTTTATGTGTAAACATTTTGTTATTTTTAAAATAYGTATGTAGCTAGACATGATGCGTGTTAGAGAAGCATCTATGCAAGACGGAGGTGAACCGATACCAGACCCAGAAGTATTGGAGACAGTTCTTTGTTATCGTTCAGGCTACGTTAAGGGTGCTGGTTGGGGCCCAAAACCAGTCTCGTAGAGGTTCTGCTTCAAGTGTAGCATCTTCACAGTGGGAAGAAGAGCTGTCACAAGAAWTATGTACTCTAAGAGAATAATTTCAGGACCATCTCACGCAGAAAGACAAAGAGCTTGAGGATCGTCTTTCTTAGAAAGACAAGGAGTTAAATGAGCATTTCGCAGCCAGAGATTCTAAGATTACGGTCTATGCAGTGGAATGTCAGATTTGAGATCAATGGTGCTACAATTKATGAGTCAGTCTAGTGGAGCCAACTTGTCAAAATAGGTACGTCCACGTAGAGTGTTGTTAGAATTCAACAACCGTAAATGTGGCTATCCTGCAGTTATGGTAGCCATTTATAACATGTATTATGAATGATTTAACTATGTTTATGTTTGAAGTATTTTTGGATGATTTTGGTGAATCTGTGAAGTGAATTGGTGAGTGCATGTTTGAAGTGTTTTAGATATTAATAGCAAGTGAGTTGTCTGTAAGTGAATCTTTGAAGTGAATTGGTAYGCAAGTATAGTGTTGTTAGAACTCAATAACTGTAAATACAGCTATCCTGCAGTTATGGTAGCCATTTGAAACATATGTCATGTATAGTTTAGCTATGTGAAATGAATTGGTGATTGTAGATGTTTTACATAATGAAAGCAAGTGTTGAGAATTTGAAGTTTGAAGATTAGTTTTTCTTAACTTTGGAGGTTTTATACGTACCTTTCCTTTAGTTTGTATAATTTGGATTGAAGTTAATCAGTTATATGGACATGAGAGAGTTGTGTGTGTGTTTTTGATAGTGAGACTAAGTTTTTGTGCATTTTAAAGTTTTTATTGGCTTTGAATAAATGAAA